CTTTGTGTGTGTGTGTGTGTGTGTGTGTGTGTGTGTGTGTGTGTGTGTGTGTGTGTGTGTGTGTGTGAGCATGCGCAGCTGGGTGTGTATATATGTAAGCATATGTGCCTCTGAGATTAAATAGTTGAGATAGTCTAGAAGACAGGGAATTGAACCTGAGGCTAATTTAATTACTGTCCCAGATTGCTCTAAATTCCAAATCACCTTCCTAAATTTCCCGTGTTTGTATTTCTCATTGACTTTTTCCAAAAGATTATATTTGTTTTTGTTATGTGTATGGCATTTATTCTTGTGTATCCCATGCATGCCTGATACCTGAGAAAGATAGAACAGGGCATCAGAACCCATGAAAGTAGCCTTGCGGATGGTTGTGAGCTTCTGCGTGGTTGTGGAGAATTAAGCACAGGTCCTGTGGAAGAGCAGCCAGTACTCCTAAGCTCTGAACCATCTCTCCAGCCCTTTCTTGTTGTCTATAAGGGTACTTTCATACAAGCATACATTGTGTACTGAGGGAAAGGAGGGCACACAGAAAAGACAGGAAGTGGATGCTACATCCCATCTTGTTCAATTCTGCTGCCACAGCAAGATGGCCTACCACCTAGCTGGAAAAATCACTAGCATACTGCAACAGAATGTCTGTTCTACTGAAATTTCCACAGGTCTCAGGCTGCTTTAGGAACCCTAATATGGAATATAGTGTATTCGTGTCAACTTGTTCCCTGTCCCAGCAAGGGCAGTAGGACATGTCAGTGTCATTTGGATCTGGAAACAGTCTGGGAATCATTGAGAACTCAATTTTTCTGGTTTAATATTTCTGTCTAGATGAGCCAGAATCGTTAGAAATGACTTCCACAAAGACTGACTCCAAAAGTGACGCTGGAGTATTGGAAACTGAATTCTACACATGTATCCACAACTAGTTACTTGATTTTATTAGAAGGCTAGAGCTCTCCTACTATGTGATATCAACCTATTTATTAAGTATACTTCTACTGAGCATTAACACTTTCATTGTTGGCTGGTAACCTTCTGTGAAATAGTACAGATGACAAGCAGGTTTTGATGATACATGTAATACTGGCATTTTGGCAGGCTGAGGCAGGAGGATTGTAAATTCAAAGCTAGTGTGGGCTATATAAGCAGATCTTATCTCAATCAACCAAATAGACTGGAGAAATGGCTTCCAAGTTAAGAGCACTGGCTGCTCTCCTAGAGGACCTGGCTTTCATTCCCAGCACCAGAGTGGAGGCTCACAAACCCTTCTTGACTCTAGGTTCAAGGAATAAGAAGTTCTATTCTGCCCTTAGAGAATACTGAATGTGTATGGTATGCAGACATACATGCAGGCAAACACCCATACATGTGAAATAAAAAATATTAAAAAACAAGAGAAAGAACCCAGCGTTGGTACTGCACACCTTTAATCCCAGCATCGGGGAGGCAGAGACAGGCACATCTCTAATAGTTTGAGGCCAGCCTGGTCTACAAGAGCAAGTGCCAGCATAGGCTCCAAAGCTACACAGAGAAACCTTGTCTGAAAAATCCAAAAAAAAAAAAAACCAAAAACCGGAAACAAAACAACAACAAAAAAAAAGAGAGAGAGAGAGAGAGAAAGAAACCTGATATCTCACACTTAAATAAAAACAACTTTCATATGGACTTGAAACCTTCTATGCTAGCTGTACACTATTTCAGATTTTCTTCATTGACTCTTAAAATGTATTTTATTTTTAAAGTATAGCATTGACTCTGGTCATTTTGAAAATACCAATATCTTAACCATTTTCCTTTTGTGTGTGTTGGTATATATGTGTTTGATACAAGTGCCCATCTCTTTTTTTGTTTATTTGTTTTTCATTTTGGGATAGGTTTCCCAGGAGCTCTGTAGCCAATCCTGGAACTCACTATATTGACAGGCAGGCCTCAAACTGACAAAGTTCCACCTACTGCCTCCAGAGTACTGGGATTAAAGGCTTGTGCCCCCACAGCCTGGTGTTTATCTATTTTTTTTAAAGTGTCTGTTTTGATGAACCTGACCAGTACTTGTGTTTTAGGTAGAGACAGGTAGACTGTTAATAGCATGCTTAAAGTTTTCTGCTACATTAGTAAAAATAATAAGCATCTCCTACACTGGTCTGGAGACTGAGCCTGTTCCCAGGCTTTGTGGAATGTCATGCTTTCTTCTATGCCTGACACACCCAGGAAAGCAACTGGGCATCAAGTAGCTTTACTGACTGCTGATTGTCACTCTTACAGAATTCAACTCTGCCCAATTCTCCTCCTGCTGAATTTGAGGCAGCCGGCCCTGGTTTCATCCCTTCACCGGTTCCCCAGGATAGAGGCCCCAGAAGCCTTCCCTTTCCATTGGATCCCAGAAGTCCCATTATGAGAAGGCCACCCCCATTCCCAGCACCTCCTCCAGGAAACATGCATGCAGATCCGCCAGGTTATTTAACACCAAGGCACTTCAATGGCCCATATTTACTGCCTGCATGTCCTCCAGATCGTTTTCATCCAAGGGACTTTCCTGGCCCACCTTTCCTACGATACCCAGGTAGGGTTTTTAAAGTCCATGTAAGTGTCAACATTTATCTGTGCTTTTTTTATTACTGTAATAAACACTGACCAGAACCAATTTGAGGAGGAAAGAGTGGAAGAGCATCCAGTACTCGTAAGCACTGAACCATCTCTCCAGACCTTTCAGCCCTTTCTTGTTGTTGCATATTTCAGGCATGTCATCTAATATATGTGGTGAAGGTTAGTTTTGGGACCAGAGTAAGGGTTGACACTAACTTGCTATAATACAAATTTTACTCTGTTCCATAGCTCTGTTCTTCTTGTCTTTAATCCATTTACATATATCCTGTCTAGCAGTCAAGGATATTAGGCTGGCAATTATCAATGGCCATGTAAATGAAGACCAGTAAAATAATTTGGGTTCTTGTCCTTAATTAGTTATCTTATTTAATCATTTCATATTTAGTAGATTGAATCTGTCAAGTACTCTTTAACTTTCACTCAATAACCACTGAAGCTGGGAAATACGTGTATCTACTGTAAGTATTAAAGCAAGTAACATAGAGAAAGAATAAAATTGTGAAATTTAAATTTTCATTGTATATTTGCTATCTATAAAGGTACTTTCCTACAAGCACATATTATGTACTGAGGGAAAGGAGGGCACACAGAAAAGACAGGAAGTGCATCCTGCATTCTGAGTTTTTCAACTGGGCTGCCCCAGCAAGATGGACTAAGAGGCAATTGGAAGGTCACCAGCACACTGCAACAGAATGTCTGTTCTACTGAAATTTCCACAGGTCTCAGGCTGCTTTGGGGACCCTAATATGGAATACTCATGTATCCCTGTCAAGTTGTTCCCTGTCGCAACTAGGCGAGTGGACATGTCAGTATCATTTGGATCTGGAAACAGTCTGGAAATAAAGTGAGAACTCATTAATTTTTCCCCGGTTTAATTTTTCTGTCTAGATGAGCCAGAATCCTTAGAAATGACATCCACGAAGAATAACAGAAAAAGTGACCCTGGAGTAAGTATTAGAAATTGAATTCTACCCATGTATCTACAACTAGTTACTTGGTTTTATTAGAAGAAGCCTAGAGCTCTTCTACTATTGTGATATCAAATGATTAATACTGTACACTTCTACTGAGCATTAACCCTCTCATTGTTGGCTTGTGACCTTCTGTGAAATAGTACAGATCACATGCAGGTTTTGATGGTGCATGTAATCCTAGCATTTTGGCAGGCTGAGGCAGAAGGATTGTAAATTCAAACTCATTGTGGGCTATATAAGCAGATCTTGTCTCCACCCACAAAATAGGCTGGAAAATGGCTTCCAAGTTAAGAGCACTGGCTGCTCTACCTGACGCCCTGGGTTTGATTCCAGCACCGGAATTGTAGCTCACAACCTTTCTTAACTCCTGGTTAAGGTATCTGAAGCTCTACTATGTCCTTCAAGAACATTGAATGTATGTAGTATGCAGATATACATGCAGGCAAAACACCCATACATATGAAATAAAAAAAAAACTTAAATAAGAACAACTTTTATCTTTTTTTGTTTATTTCCATTTGGGGATAGGTTTCCCATGAGCTCTCTAGCCATCCCTGAAACTCACTGTATTGACAGGCTGGCCTCAAACTGACAGAGATCCACCATCCGCTGACTCCCAAATTCTTGATTAAAGACATGTGCCCCCAGATCCTGGTGTATATCTATTTTTTAAAGTGTCTGTTTTGATGTGCCTGAACTGTACTTGTGATTTAGGGAGAGCCAGGTAGACTATTACTACCATGCTTAAAGTTTTCTGCTGAGTTAGTAAAAATATTTAGGATAGCAAATAAGTGGCTCCTATACTGTGTGGAAACTGAGCCTGTTCCCAGGCCTTGTGGAATGTCATGGACTGCTTTCTTCTATGCCTGACACTCCCAGGAAAGGTGCTGGTCATCAAGTAGCTTTACTGACTGCTGATTGTCACTCTCTTACAGAAGTCAACTGTGCCCAACTCTCTTCCTGCTGAATTCGAGGCAGCTAGCACTGACTTCATCCCTCCACCAATTCCCCAAGATAGAGACCCCAGAGGCCCTCTCTTTGCAGGGGATCCAAGAAGCCCTGTTATGAGTAGGCCACCCCCATTTCCACCACCAACTCCAGGAAACATCCATCCAGTTCCTCCATGTTATTTTATATCAAGGGACTTCACTGGCCCACCCTTCCTGCCATACCCAGGTAGGCTTTTTTAAAAGCCCATGTATGTGTCAACATTTATCTGTGCTTTTCTTATTGCTGTGATAAACTGTCCAGAACCAATCTGAGGAGGAAAGAGCTTATATGGCTCACAGGTTACAGTTCAACATAAAGTAAGCCAATGCTTAGTTACTTTTGAATTTTAACTGTACTGTACAGGTCAGAAATTAAGTAAATTTACAAACATTTTTTTTTGTTTTTTTTTTTGTTTTATTTATTCTTCCCAAGGCAGGGTTTCTCTATAGCTTTGTTGCCTGTCCTAGAACTCTTACTCTGTAGGCCAGGCTAGCCTTGAACTCGCAGAGATCTACCTGACTCTGCTTCGAAAGTGCTGGGATTGAAGGCATGTGCCACCAATGCACAGCTACAAGCATTTTTAAGATTAAAATTATGTGTATTTCATTTCATAGAATTGTATTGTGGCTATTATTTAAAGTAATTGCTTCTATTTTTTCTAAATATTACTGAGTAGAGTGTCTTAAAGTATTTCTCTTAAACAGTAGTTTCCACATGATCATATTTAAAATGTAAGATCATATTTGTTGAATTTATTGAGTTCATTCATACCCTTACATTTTAAAATAAAAGTAATTTGTTGCTTTCACTGCATAGGTTACCCTTGGAATCACAAGTTTCTGCACAGTAAATCATGTCAGTTACTAGACAAGACCCCTCTTAGTCGTCCTAAGTGTCTGTTCTCTGCTCTCACCTCTACTCTTAAACTTCTAGACAAGTGAAATGAATTTTGTTTGGGAAGTTTTAAGGTTGTCTGTGACATCACAGCAAGTGTTTTCAGTAGAATAGCATCACTGATCTGAATATTAAGTTGAAAATCTTTCTCCATTGAATAGCTGTTTTACAGTAAGTCTTGAGTGTATTGGGATCTTGAGTGCCTGCCAAGATAGGACAAACACAGCTGAAACTGATGGTGATGTTCTTAATAATCCTATGTAATAAAGAAGTACAATTTTCAATGTCAAGATTCATTTATGAGATCAAATATTGTGTTGTGAGTGTTTGGACATCAGAATAGGGACTGGAGCTAGTCGTTCAACAAATGTGCTGTACAGGATTTTAACTCCACTCTCCTTTATCCATCTCTTTGGACAGGGAGAAATGTGAACGAACCAAGGGGCTTTCTGCCTTTCCTTCCAGCAAGAGCTGGGTTTGTTCCCCTACCCCTACATCCTGAAAGTAGAAATGAGCTGCCCCCAGACTTCATTATGTCTTCCAAACAACCTGCACCTGAACTTCTGGAAACACAGGAGACCTGACACTTTCCTCAAGGGTCATTTCTTCTCATTTTCAGTTTAAGTAACTGCTGTTACTTATGTGATTATATTGTTGCTCAAATCAAAGCTTAATGGATTAGCATTTTGTAAATAAAGATTATTTAACTATGAATCTTATGAGTAAATTATTTCTCTTTTATTTCATTCTGGGTAGTATATTTTACTTCGATTACCTCATCCACCATTATGGTTGTTTTATACATAATAGTATAGTTGGGGGAAATCCTTTTTTGTTGTTGTTGTTGTTGTTGTTGTTTCTTGTTTTTTCAAGACAGGGTTTCTCTGTAGTTTTAGAGACTTTCCTGGTGTCACTCTGTAGACCAAGCTGGCCTGGAATTCACAGAGATCTGCTGGCCTCTACCTCCTGAGTGCTGGGATTAAAGGATGTGCCAACAACGCCTGGCTAGTAGGGGTATCTTAAACTCTATAGGCTGTGTGTTTATAACAGGAATGTGTTCACCATGGTTGTAGTCAAATGGAAAAGCAAGTATGTTTATGGAATAAATTTTAATTGAATTAAAGTCTTGTTTGTCATTGATAATTATAAAACAAGCCAGTTTCACATAAGCATGGCTCCATAAATTAGTCTTTTTACCTGTACCGATAATTCAGTGGTTCAAAAGGGAAGTGCCTGCGGTTGGAAAGAGGGTGGCTCAGTGGTTAAGACTGGGTGCTCATTCGGAACTGAGGATTGGGCTTGGTTCCCAGCATCCATATGGCAGTTCCAGATCTGGAGATTCCAATGTCTTCTTCAACCTCCAAGTGTACCAGGAATGCTTGTAGTGTACACGCATGCACAGATATACATACATGTAGTGCACAGACATGCATCCAGAATACCAGGAATGCATGTAGTGTGCAAGTTATGCATGTGGTGCAGCAGGAATGGATTAATGCACAGGCATGTGTGTAGTGCACAGGCATGCATGTAGACAAACCATATGCACATATAAATTATAAAAAAAGGTAATGCATTGTGGGTTTTCTGATTTGATTATCTTACAAGATGTGTATCCTACTCTGGAGTTAGATATGAAAGGCCCAAAATAACGTAATGAACTTTAAATCCCAAATGTGGATTAAATTGTAAAGAAAGCAGGGACATTGTCTAATGAGGAATTTCAAAATTTTATTGAACTTAGTTCACTGAATAGTTCTCTTTTAACAGTTCAGAGAGAGAGGGAGGAGAGAGAGAGAGCACGAAACAGCAGGCACACACAAGCCCACTCTTGTACAGGGTGTATGGTGATCAGAGGACAGCTGGAAGATTATCTTTCTACAGTAGGTTCTGGAGACAGCACAGGATCTCAGGGACACACAGTGAGCACTTTCCTCTATATCCTGCCAGTCCTACTGACTGGCTTTCTAACATAATTTCTCTTTCTCTCACTCTATCTATTTATTGATTTTGTTTCTTTCTGAGACACAGGGTTTTGGTGTGTAGCCCTGATTGTTCTGGAACTTGCTGTGTGGACCAGGCTGACTTTGATTTTGGAGACTTTTCTGTTTCTGCTCATAGAGTGCTGGGATTAAGAGTGTGCAACACCACACCTCTCATTTTATTCTTAACTGGAAGATGTTGATTGTGTTCTGTGGGCTGTGTTAAGAGAATAACCAACAAGAGGCCCCTGTTTCTGAGGTAGGGAGTTCAAGTGTCTTCAGACTGGTGTTCCTGTTCTTGGTCTTGCACATTGATAGGAATGGAGAGAGTGAGACCCATCCAATGGATTTCCTGTTGATGTATTCAGCCATTGGTTTTCACCTGTTCAGTTGGGTTTTCCTTAGGTGTCAAGGGACTGGGTTGAAAGGTTCAGGCATTATGCTGGCCTGCCCGTTTCCTGGCAGAATCCACTCAGGCAGTACCCTGGACAGCCAAGGGTTCCATAGGAACTAAGTCTACACGAAGGTGTAGAGGACCCCTTTAAAACACAGACTCCTACCCACTTATACTCTCTCTACTCTCTACTCTTCTCCCCTCTGCTCTTCTATTGCTCTTCTCTCTCCTCCTATCTATACTCTCTCTGCCTCTCTATGGTGACCTGCCATGGAGGTCAGCCATTAACCCTGTTCCTCTTCTTGCTTAGTCTCTCTACTCTGCTGGACCTATAATAAACTGGTTAATATGTCTAATAGTCTCGTATCTCATCTTGTGTCTCATCTTGCGCCTCTTTTCTCTAAACAAAAGAATAACATGGGTAATTAACATTCCCTAGCACAGCAATGTGATTGTGACTGGAATGTTTCCCGAGTGTCATTGGGAAACAGTGGTCAGGAGGTGTTTCTGCTCTACACAGAAAGATAAGCTTTTCATTGAATGCAGTTTCCCCTGTTCTTATTCTAGAGTTTTACAACATGAACTTCTACCTCTTAATTCCCATTTTATTACTTGATTAAGAAAATGTATCAGTATATTGTTTCCGTAAAGAAAGAACTTACAATTTTGGAATTTATCTACAATCAAGTTTTATATTGAAACATTTGTATTCTTTGTTTTGGTCAGCTGTCTTCATGACTGTGAATGGAGCCAGCCATACAGTCCAGAGTCCGATTCTGAGTGGGGATTGTGGACTAAGGGAATCAAATTACCCAACGGCGCTAATGATGAGACACGAAACACTGTATCATCTTAGGAGGGATCCCAGCTGATGCTGAGAAGCCACAGTTTATTGAGAAGTTTATTTAAATAGTCTTCCAAGGGCAGAGGAAAGCATCTATATGGTGTATATAGCTGATATCAAGTGATTCTATTAGTTTAAGCATCACCTAAACAGCTCCTAGTCACATTGACTGAGTTCTCAGTCCAGGTGCGGCCCTACTCAATACTTAGGCCCATAGAGATGGAAACTAGGAGGCATTCTACACTGAGGCCATGCTAGTCAATAGCAGATTTGCTCACATCTGCAATACAATCATAGGCCGGAGCTCCTATTTACTAAAACTGGAGATTGGACCTTAAGACATTCCTTAATGGAACTTTCCTGGTCCCCAACAATTCTTGACATCATTAAACCTCTGTTTAAACCCATTTCTCTTCTTGCTCTCCCTAGACCAGGATCTTACTTTCTGTTAGCTATTTATACTTCCAATATGCAACTCCAAACTGTATATCTCCATGTGTGATGTCAAAATACTCTTGGAGAATTCCAACTCTGTTCAGGTTTGTTGACTGCAATGCACTTCTCTCTCTCCGGCTGGTTGCATTCCCTGTTAGCAGCTCTCCTTGGCAGGTGTCCCTTGACTCTGGCATCTCTAACACTTGGGTTCTCCATACAATCCAGGCTTTACCTTCACAGCTTTCACACAGTTGGCCTCTGTACTAGGTCTCCATTCAGGAACACCCCTGACACAAGCCTGGCCTCGTTGCTTTTACTCCATAACTCCTTTCTTCTGTCCTAGAACTCACTGTGTGGTCTACCTGACCTCAAAAAGATGTGCTTGCTGGGATTAAGAGAGCCTAAGTCCAGTTCTTCTCTAAAAGATAAGGACAAAGGAGCTTGTGCTGAGGCCAACTGAGACAGAATCAGAAGTTGAGACTTTCGGTTCAGTATTTTACCCTTCACTTGGATGCCAATCATCTTTACTCCTTCCTTTTGCAAACACATGGGGACACTTTATGTATACACACACACACACACACACACACACACACACACACACACACGCTGAGTCACTCGGAGTTATTAGATCTGTCTAGGAAATAAACAATTGAAAGGCACTAGACAACTCCAAGACAAATCAGGCATTAGATTCCAAGATGAATCAGTGCCTGTGAAGAAGGCATCTAGAACAATAAAGACAGGAAAAGGTGGAAATAAGAAAGAAGCCATTTTCTTTCCCATTGAATGATAGCTGTTAATCTCAAGGACCAAGACACAGATCATGTTAAAACCACAATTATATGGCTCAGCAAAAATTAATAGCAGTAATAATTTCTGCCTCTGATACACTGAAGAAAATAAGAAGCATGTTTAAATTACCAATAGTGTATACTAAATGCATGCTACATTGGGATATTGTTAACGAATATAGGGCCTTTGTTTTTCCATTTTTCCTTTTTTTTTCAGTGTTTTATTTTTATTTATGTATTTATTTTTTTGGAAGTAGGGTCTTAAACAGCCAAAGCTGGCTTCAGTCTCACTTTGCACCAGCAAAGGACTGTAGTGGTTTGAATAGGAATGGCCCCATTAGCTGATGTTTGAATATCTGGTGACCTGTTGATGGAATTCTTTGGGAATGATTAGGAGGTATGGACTGTCACTGAGTTTAGGTGCCATGGTTTTTGAATGAGAATGGTCCTCATAGCTCATATAATTGAATGCTTAGTCACCAGTTGGTAGAATGACTGAAGATTAGTAGGTGTGACCTTGTTATTGGTTTCCTGCTGGGGATGAATTTGAGGTCTCTAAAGCTGCTGCCAGGCCAAGTCTACCCGCATCCCCTGTCCCCAGCAGGTTGCCTGATCCAGGCAACTTGTTCAGCACCATGCCTGCCTACATGCTGCCATTCTCTTCACATGCTGATAATTGTCAAATCCACTGAGACTGTAAGCAAGCCCCTAGTTGGCACTTCCCTTTATAGGAGATGCCTTGGTCATGGTCTCTTCACAGCAATAGAACAGTAACTAAGTTATGGGGCTCTGATGCTTCAAAAGACCTCTGCCATGCTCAGGTCTTCCTGCCCCCTACTTGTGGATTAAGATGTGAGTTCTCAGATTTTCCTGCTCCCTTACAATCCTTCCACCTTCTTCGACTTTACCCCTCAGACACTGGAAGCCCGATTAGACACTTTCTTTAATAAGATGCCTTGTCATGGTGTTTTCTCACAGCAACAGATATAAGTTACTAAAACACTGACCTTGAACTTACGGTCTTCCTTTCTCCATCTCTAAGAGCCAGGGTTATAGGAGTGTGTCATCATGATGGACTTAAGTCTGTTTTGAAGCTTGCCTTTTCGCAAAGTGAAAAAAAAAAAAAAACTTTCTAAACTATGCAGCTTAAGAGTTTTATTTAAACACTGACAGTTTGTGTTTCATATACAATAAAATACATTACAATGGTCACTTTTTAATGCTTTATTCATTGATTAAAAGAATATACATTTAACATAAACCATACAACATCAGTCATCAGGTCAAACATTCAGCTGGTTTCCTTACAGATTCTGTCAGGAGTTATTTTATCTGATCACATATACAAGGTAAAATCTCACCACATCTGGCATTTACACACACTGTGCCAGTGGATTCATACTACTGATGTACATATAAAATCCTCAAGGTAGGTGCTCACTGGACAAAACTGTGCACACCTGTCAAAAGGTCATTTAATATAAGATGGTAAAACCATTTGTAAAACATATAAACTTTTTCCATAAATAGAATCATATCTGGACATCTGTTGCATAAATTGTGTTTCCAAAGCTTACAATAGAGCAGCCAGGTCTCAGCACTGCTGGGCACCCATGTTGGCTACTTACTTTATTATTGCAGACTGTCCTTAACATTAAATGCACAACATTCGTACCTCTTAAAACTTGGGTCAGGTGGAAGTCTCACAGAGACCACGTCTGTACCGCGGTTGCCCTGAAACAGTTAAACTGGCTTTTAAAGCCGCTCAGATATAACAAGGTTTTAAAACATACTTCATGGAATGTTCTTCATGTATCATAGCAGCTCATACCTGTGATGGAACAAGCTTTTGGTTTTTCCTTCCTTTCCTTTACATTCACTATTCACAGTGAAGCAGTGAATACAGTATTCTTTTTCTATTTTTTTTTTATAAGTCTGAGTTTGCTTCCTGAGGCGACTAATGTTGGTTTGCAAACCTGTGTGTCTACAGTTCTGTGCTTTGACTTAGCCTCAGAGGTTTCCCTGGAATATGGTTCTTTTCTTCCTTCCTCACTGTGTGACATCTGGGCTAATGAAGCTAACTTGAATGTAACAGGTGAAAAAAATTGATGTCAGATATAGTCTAAAAAGTCCAGCTATTTGAGTGTTCAGTTTATGTAAATGCATCTAAAAAGGGATTAAGCAATGTCTAACTTATGCTATATGAAATTCAGAATGGTAATTGGCAATATGAATTATTATATAGGGAATGAAAGTTAAACTCAGCTTTCTGTTACAGATAACTCATTTGGGACACTGTTTTCCCTTCTATTTCAAACCAAAGTCAATGAGATGCTATCAGAAGACATAGATGCAGTGCATTGCATACAAATCCACCCAGCTATGGATATCCATATATATATATATACGTATAAAAATATTAGGCTCCTGAGCTCTGGATTCTGACAAAGAAAGAATAAAAATGTCAACAAGGCAGAATAACTCAGTGAAAAACAAAGTTAGCCAGCAACCTCAGATAATCATTGGCTATTTGCCCTTAAGGTTTGGTAACAATCTCATTAACCGTGAAAGCCCTGTACATTGTCACTTTGAACTTCAAAAACCAATACCCGACTACGTTCTTTGATCAAGAAGTAGAATATACATATATAGTTCTATAAAGCTAATACTGATTAAACACAGCACAAAAGGGATTAGTTTACACTACTGAACAAAACAGAAAACCATAATGGGACCCTACTTGCATATCTGGCCACAGGAATTATACATTTTTTAAAAAGCTAAATGTCTTCGCTGAAGCTTTGCATCTCTCTGTAAAAATGACGATTTGGTTCAGTGAAGACACTGAGTGATTCAATGTCCAAGACTGCATGCCAAGGTTGACCAAGGCCCAGGGATACCTGCTCAACAAGGTTATTCACTGGATCCACATCCTGGTCGGCTAGTTCACCTTGGTCAAAATCAATGCTTTCTTCGGTGACTTCAAGCACTTTTAGATCAGAGCCACGAAGACGAGCAATGGCAATGAGGTTGTGTGCCCACACGGTGTAACCTTAAAGATAAGCAGAAGGCAACCCTGTCATTCTCTTCTGTTTTGAGAAGCTTCACATTTGTATTTCACCATGTTGGTCCTTTCCCCTTAAATCAAACTGAGAATAAAGAAACATGACATCCTATGCATTTCATACTATCTTTAAGAAAGCCATAGAGTGATGAGCTGTTAAGTGGTGTCTAATCTTATTCTGGTATTTCACTCAGCAAATAGACATTTAGAGTATAGGAATACATTTTTAATATTGGATAATAACTTACCATTAGGAACACATTTTATTTCCCACATAAGTCCCTATTAAAAATATATAGAACCAGGCAGTGGTGGCACACTCCTTTATCCCAGCACTCAGGAGGCACAGGCAGGCAGATCTCTGAGGTCAGCCTAGTCTACAGAGTGAGTTCCAGGATAGCCACAGCTACACATAGAAACCCTGTCTTGAAAACCAAAACAAACCAAAAAAACAACATAAAGTAAACTGGAATTTTTTCATCGTAAAACTCATTCCCTATGGCGTATCACAGTCCAAGTCATGACACTTGAAATTTTGAAAGCAACTGTTCATTATCAGAACTCATAGAAAACATAAGAATATGTGTCAGCTTCAGAACAGAGGTCACCTCTGGGAAAGAAAGGGAACAGATGATGAAGCTTTCCTTCTATGTAACACCCTGAAAGAAGAAAAAGCTTTTCAAGGGCTGGTTTGTTAACTTTTAAATAACCTGATGTTGGCAATTCCTGTTTTATTTTACACAATGTGCATGCATGTACATGTAGTGTGGGCACACATGTGTGTGCCTGCCCGTAGAGGTCTCAGGATGACACTGGGTGTCTTCCCTGATGACTCTCTGATTTATCTGTTGAGAGGGGATCTTGAAATTGAACCAGAGCTTGACCGGCTAGTCTAGCTAGACAGCTTGCCCAGGCAGGGGTTCTATTCTCTCTGCCTCAGTAGAGGACTTGAGACAGCTGCCAAGCTGTTAGGTAGGCTCCAGAGATCTGAGCTCTGGCCCCTCCCTGCACAGTAAGCACTTTATTTACTGAGCCATTTCATCCAACAACACCTTACTACTTTTAATATGGATGTTTCTGCTATTACCTGTCATTGTATGGCCCAAGTATAAAGCAAAACCTGAAAAGCACAATTGCAGATAAGTAAAATAGTTTCAAACACAATGAAAGAGTTAATATAGACAGCTTAACACATTCTTTGCTTCCTTTCTTATTTATTTATTTGTTGGGTTTTTTATTGTCATTTTTGTTTTTTTGGTTTTTTGTTTGTTTGTTTTGTTTTGTTTTGAGATAGGATTTCTCTGTGTAGCATCCCTGGTTGTCCTAGAATTAGCTCTGTAGACCAGGCTGGCCTTGAATAAACAGAGATCCGACTGCCTCTGCCTTTGAAATCCTGGGTTTAAAGGTGTGTGCCGCCATACCCTGCTTATTATTATTTTTCAAAAAGGTCTCACTATGCATCAAAGGCTGGCCTAGAGAGCACTTATGTAGCCCAGGCTGCCCTCTCAAACTCTTGACAATCCTCCTACCGAAGCCTCTCAAGAGCTGAGATCATGAATTTGTGACACCATGTACAGCTAAGACAATTTCATAGATTATTTTTGTAAATGGTTTTGAAGTAAAATGTTCTCTCAATTTATCTGAAAGGAACTCCATTCAAATAAGAATAGTATACATACTAAGATGAATGGCTAAGAAATAAACATGTACCTAACTAATACATTATTCAAAAACTATAATAAATCCATCAATACTAGAATCTAAAAGTTGAGGTGTAAATGTCAAAGCCACACTTTCCCTCCTCCTAAACATTTCTGGATCTTCTGGTTAGAGTGAATATACCCACTGTATGTGGTTACACATTTGTTTCTTTAGCTAAATTAGTATCAATTCCCTACGGCAGGAAAAACCATTAGAGAGGCCCTGAGATATAACACTCAAGTTTGAGACAGGACTTCCTAACTTGTGATATTTATCAGAATGAAATACTTTAAGGTATGATGTCAGTATCAAGTTACAGTGAACAAAACCACATACCATGAATTGCCAAAAGAGTGAGCTTTGTGCACCTCCATGCTAATAAAACCAACGGATCTTCATTCCTGTTGTCACTAAGATCTGGAAAACCAGACGTGTCAATGACATCATTCATCAATATAAAATGGGTGAGGAACTTGTCGTACTGCCTGGATATAAGATCAACAATAGCCCCTGAGACACAAGTGATGTAGCTGTCAAAGTGAACCCTCTCAAGTGGTATACTAGGCTTCAGAATCTTTAGCATGTCTTCCCCTTTGACATCAAAAGCCATTAGATAGACCCGAAGGCTGGAGCTCTTTCGTGATAGGGCTTTCCAGTGCTCATCGTTTGGCATGTTGTCTAATGACTTGTTCATCACTGAAACATTGTGGACCAGGAGAGACAGTCGCTGCAAAGGCACATGGTTGCTATCAGTTAAGACTCTTGCCATCTCAGCTGTAAAGTCACAGAAATCCAGGGCAAGTGAACGCAGATTTACAAACCGCTCTAGTTCAACTGCAGTGATAAGCGTGCTGTTGCCAGGAATATTGTTGTCCAGTAAACTCAGGTGTTCCATAGTATTGGCAATTGAGTTAGACAGAGACGACAAGGATGTTGGGGTCACTATTTCCAGCATAAACCCACAGGACAGCCATTTTAGTTGTCTACTATTGCTCAGTACTTCTTCAAACAGCTGCTGAATTCTACAAGGAAAACGTGACACAATGTTGTCACTAGCACTCAGCACTAATCTTTTAATGAAGACTTTAAAAAATGGGCAACACATATCATTCAATGTTGAGATATATTTTTTCTCATTACTTGATTTCTATCCAATCTACGAATGCAATTAAACTTTCGTTACAATATAATAAATAAGATACATTAAACATGGAGAACTGTTTCTGAGAAAAACAGCATTTTTGTATTAACAATCCAGAAGAAAAGACTTACAGTAAAAGCAAGTGAAGCCTAACACATTTAAATAGCAGGAAGGGGCTATGTGAAGAGAGCTTTCTTCTGCAGAAGAATCCAGGTTCATTTACAGCCCCCACACAGCAGTTCACAACCATGAGTAACTCTAGTTCCCAGGGATCCAACACCCTCTTGTGACTTGTAGGAAACAGACATTCATATGGTACATGTACAGCCATGCAGGCAAACAATTAAAATGCATAAGATAAAATATTAGGAATTTATAAAGCAATATAAATTGCAGCATTCACATGGGATCTGGGAATGTGGACTGTAGGTTTACCTCCATATATATATTTTTTTTTTAAAGAAAACTAAGATCATTGTTCTTGATTGTGTCTCATGAGTTTTCAGTCAAAAGCTAGACTCACTATTAACACATGCCCCTGTAGAGTCACTGTGTACTTACTGCTTAATCTTCTTGCAGTCAGGGTCTACCCTGCTGAGGTCTGTGCTGGATAAACTTCCTTGCTGCTGGACAACACTCACATCTCCAAACAGACTAAACTTCTGGAGGTTCCTATGGGAGGAAAATGGTCAAAATGATTTCCCAAATGTTTACTACATTACACACAGTAAAATATGTAGAAAGGATATTCCAGAGGAGTTTCTACCTTCTAACTCACTTAGAGCCAAACCACCTTCAGACTGCTGTGCATGTTCAGAACAACAGTATGTATGGAGAAACAGCAAACATACTAAAGGAGGTGACTAGGTACAAAGCTTGTGCTCAAGCTTTAATGACTGTGGACAACACTGTGACCGAAGCCAAATGCTGAGCTCACAGGTCTCAGGTACAAGTAATGAGGCTACACAGAGAACAGGAGCACTTGAAGTTGTAAGAGATGTCAATCACAAGAACTTCTCAAGTCAGGTGGTAATGGTGCTCACCTTTGATCCCAGCACTGGGGAAGCAGAGGCAGGCAGTTCTCTGTGAACAGTTCAAGGCCATCCTGGTCTCTAAAGAGAGTTCTAGGTAGCCAGAGCTACCTCACAGAGAAACCAGGTCCCAAAAAAAACAAACCAAACCAAACAAAAACTCTGTAAAGATCCTTAAAGTTTTAGATAATTTCAGCTATAAAATACTTCTCTAATAGCAAAAGTCTAAATAAAATACAAGAAAGCAAATGAATAGTTAAGATACAAACTCCTAGATGGTAGTGTTAAGTTTCAAACCTGGGACAAATGGCTGAAGTGTCTATTCACATATCAAAGTGGACCTGGCTGGCAGGGTCTCCCAGTATCTCTCATTCCCTACCTGTCACAGGGTCTGGCTGGCTGCCCTGTCCTCTACCATGACCTCTCCAGCTTATGGTCTGGGCCACCCTTCCCTTTTATGAACAGACAATTGGTTAGCCACCCCCTTTTGTACCTGGTTCCCTCTCGCCCTTCTCCCTTCCCCTCCCCCTCTCCCCACAGCTCAGTGTGGCCATGTCCACTCTGGACTCTCCCAGATGTCCCTGTCCCTGCCTCTACCTCCATTCTCCCTTTTTATATGCAATAAACTTTCTCCTCCACCACACCTAGGAGCAGTCATGTCCTTTCCTTTCCTTTTCATTGATTTTCTTCATTCAGACAGCAGAAACCATGTAGAGATTTAACAACATAAAACTTAGGATAACTTTAATGGTAACTGTTTAATCTATGAAAGTGATTCAAACCAATGCAACACCATCAAAGTAAAATGTTAGAAGGACTGCTAAAGGAAACAATCTAACTTTTGTCCCTCAGAAAGTTTCAAATCGATCATTCTAGTAACTCAAGACAGCATCTCAATGATGGCTAGAAACAGTTTACTTTATAAAATATTCAAAGAAACTCAAAAAAAAAAAAGAACTCAACATTTTTTCATATTGACAAAGGAACAGAAAGCTGCGCTTGTCAGACAGTGGACCCCTTTATTCTCAGCACTCAGAAGGCATAGATAGGCAGATCTCTCTAAGTTCAAGGCCAGCCTGGTCTATATAGTGAGTTCCAGAGCAGCCAGGGCTACACAGCTGTCTGAGACTCTGCCTGAAAACAAAACAAAACCTCCTAAAAAGAAAAACACCTCCCAACCAAATCAGAGAGAACTGAAATCAAAGGTGAAAGCAAAGAGCAAACCAAACAACAGAAAGAAAAGTACTCTTTTGAGAGCACTGGCATCTCACACACAACAGGCACAGCGTCACAGTTTGTAACTGTCAGCTTTGGAAGCATTTTCCACTTTGTCATTTCTTCATTCTAATTTGTCACATACAGAATTCTTATAACAGTTAATTCCTCAGAAGAAAAAAAATAAATACTTCTAAAAAAAAGTGTTAGAGGATGAGATTCTATAAAGTAAAAATTGCATCATTTTCAATTCCTTCTATTATTAGAGCAGTCATACAATCTGTGTTTTCCCCTTCAGTCCAACTGTCACTGGTGACTATTACATACTTTTAAGACATGTATTTAATTAAAAGACCTCGATCCAAAAAAGCATTTTAAGCAGATGGGATGGCACATGCTTGAAATTCTAGCACCTGGGAGGCTCAAGAGGGAATGCCATAAACTCAAGGCCAAACTGCTACACAATGAGTTCCAGACCAGCCTGTGGGAGATTTAGAGCCTGTCTCAGACAAAGGAAAACTCAGTAACAACAACAAAAACAGCAGCAGCAGCAGAAACACAGCCAATAAAATTCATGTAAAGGGTTGGAAGCGGAATGGCAACCAAGACAGAAGAAAGGTGAATAGCCCATGGAAACATGTTCTTCACTATCCCTCACCAGAGAAATGGATGTTGAAACCACAGTGGGATAACCACACATAGCCCCAGAAAGTCTAAAATGACAAAGATTTTAACACCAAGCGTGGGCAAAGATACAGAACGAAAACTCACACATGTTATTTCCACAGTGCAAAATGATACATTCAGAAAATTGTTCATCAATTTGTTTAAGAGTTAGATACAGATCAATAATTTCAAAAGTAATAACTTACCCAGGATAGATAAAAGAAAGTATATAAGAATTTCATTCAAAACTTCATAATAACTTTATTCATAATAGAAATTAAATTAGAAACAATTTAATTATTACCCAATTGGTAATATTCCACACAAAGGAATAAACAATAAAAAAGAACTAAGTGCTAATACATACTATAATATGGATATAAATTGCACTTATTAATTGTATATAATACAATTGTATTTTATCTGTATGAAATTATAGAACAATCATATAGCAGAGTTGGATCACTGTTTCCTTAGGGCAAAAGAGTAGAATTCATTAGATAAAAAAATGTTCTAAATCTTGAATTTAGCAAAATTAATCTGTAAACATCTACTGAGCTATACTCTTAAAAAATGAGTAAGGGGGCCTGGAGAGATGGCTTGGAGTCTAAGAGCATTAATTGCTCTTCCAGAGGTCCTGAGGTCAATTCCTAGGAACCACATTGTGGCTCACAGCCACTTAAAATGAGATCTGATGCCCTCTTCTGGTGTGCAGGCAACTATGTAGATAGAACACTATGCACAATAAATAAATTTATTTGTTTTTATTATTTATTTATTATTATTTATTATTATTATTTATTATTTATTATGCTCATTTTAAAAAATGAGCAAGGGACTGAAGAGATGGCTCAGCCATTAAGTGTGCTTACTGCTTTTGCACATGACCTGGGTTCAGTTCTCAGCCTCCATGCAGAAGTCCGGGATGCCCTTTATCTTTAGTTGTGGACATCTAACTCTGCAGGCTCCAGAACACATGGGTTATACACACATACAATCAGGCATACACACATACAGATAAAATTAAATAAACCTTTTTGTTTGTTTTGTTTTCATCTCAAGTAGTCTCTGCTAATTTAGAAGGAAGTACCTTCTCAGCTTCTGAGATGAGAGCTCTCTGCAAATGAAAATACCTGTAAATCCAGTAAGTGCATTAGAGGTAAAGTCCACACATTTGTATTTAAGTTGAGAAACAAAAATGAAAGTGGGACTTAGTCCATTTCTTTGAATGAAACTAAGATGAACTGATTTTCATATTTTGAACTAAGACACAACACTGACATCAACATTAACACCTGCAGAGTTAATCATCTTCTTAGTGCATTTTCTGTTGCTATAACAAAATACCCCAGATCAGATAATTTACAAAAAAAATATCAAATTTACCTAGCACATAGTTCCAGAGGCTGGACAGTTAAAAGACAGGATGGGCACATTCTTGGTGCATCACACATGGGGAAGAAAGGGATAGGGGATCGTAGCGTGACCAGTCAAGCTCACCAGTTCCTGTCTCTCTTACTTTCAAAAGCTATTAATGCCAACATAGTTTTCCACTTATGACCTAATTCTAAGGATCTGCCAATGGCTCCATCTCCAAATCCACATGAATTTGAGGACTACGCTTTCTTTTAGAGAGGGGTCTCACTGGGTTTGGGCCCCAGCACCCACCTAGTGACTCAAAATTGCCTTTCACTCCAGTTCCATGGGACCCAATGCCCTCTTATGGCTTTTGCAGGCACTGAACGCACAAGGTGCATAGACATACATGCAAACAAAACACCCACACACATAAAACAAAGATCTAAAAGAAAACCTTCAACAGCTTAAAATGGGAAATCTGATATTTGCACAGCAAACAGATGCTGGGCAAGGGACCCCTGCACTAGCTCATTCACGGTACTGTGGTGGTGAATCATTTTAGGAGAGGCATTGTCATCAAATTTCTCCTCCAATGATAGCAGTAGCCACTGCATTTTTATATGGACAAGTCCTAAAGTTCTCCTCTTTTCACCAACCAAGTGATCACTGTGGAATGTTCCTTACACTGTGTGAATATGTCACTGTGACTGGTTTCATAAAGGAGCTGCCTGGCTAATAGCTGGATAGGATAAGGTTAGGGGGAGAGCCAAACAGAATGCTAGGAAGAAGAAGGGCAGAGTCAAAGGAGTAGCAAGCAGATGCAGAGAGAAACAAGATGGATATACGGTGCTGAGAAAAGGTACCAAGCCTCATGGCAAAGCCTAGATAAAAATAAAAATATGGGTTAAGTGAAATGTAAGAGTTAGCTAGTAACAAGCCTGAGCTATTGGCCAAATATGTATAATTAATATTAAGCCCATGTGTGGTTGCTTTGGGAGCAGCTTGTGGGACAGAAACTTCTGCCACCCTGAGAATCATTGGGTCCAGGAAACTGCTGATGGCTGGGTACTGATTTATGCACCTGAGTCTATATGGGAGAAGAGTGGGCTCCACCACAGAGGGACATGGAGGACCCTAATAGCTGGGCCTGAGACCCACATGCTGGCCACGATTGAACACTTCAGTGTCTGTGCCCCATCCTGCCAACACAGACTTCCTTGGCCCTGCTGCTTTTTATGCTTTCAAAGTCCAACAGACAGGGTTAGAAATTCAGCTGGTTTGTAGGAGTTCCCATGCCCATATACTATAGCACACAGCCTATGGCATGAGACGGCATTTACCATAGTTAGCTGATCTTCCTTCCTTCCTTCCTTCCTTCCTTCCTTCCTTCCTTCCTTCCTT